TTCGAGAGCGAGGGGGAGGGCCTGCGAGGAGATCTCCTCGCCGCCGGCCGGAATTGCCTGCTCCTCTAGAGGAGCAGGCAATTCCGGCACGCGATGTTCTGCTACCACGACGCGATGCGGGCGTGGCAGCAGCCCGCGTGGGCCGCTGGCAGGAAGGGGCAGGTCGGGCGCTGAGCGTGTTGCTGTTCGTGAGAGTGGTTGTGTGGCTTAAATGGGCTGTGGTGCGTACGATGGACGGGGGGCCTCTTGCGAAACCCGTCGCCCGTCGCTCTGGGCGGGGAGGAGATTGGGGAGTGGGAAAAGCCGTTGCCGGATTGTGGTGTGGGCGGGCTTGCCGGGGGACTGAGGGGCGGGGACTGCCCGAAGGTATGTGTCGGAGCGTGATTGGGTAGAAATTAGGGTTTTTGTAGGTACAATACGTAATGGGCTCTGTCCCCATTGGAAATCAAAAAAAACAAAATACTTGCAACTCTCCTGGAATGGGCGGTGCGGAACGAGGCAGTGGCGCAGTTTTTAGATGATTTTCCCGCCTCCCAACCAACTCTGGAGCTTGCGTGCCGCACACTCACTGCCGCCCCCTGTATCAACTGGAGTACCAAAACCCCCCAAACCTGTCCCCCCTCCCCCGGACCAAGTCGTACCCGCTTGTCCCATGCCGACCGCCCATTCTTCGGTATCACATGTTCTGCATGGCAAACCCTTCTTCCCCTACCGTCTTGGCCCACTGCCTGCCTCCTTGCCGTCCTCCCCCTGCTTTATTTTCACTGGAAAATCGGCTCGCCGAAGTCTATCCACATCCAACGCGTAAATCTAATCTGTCAGAGTGTGCGCCTCGCCTCTTTGAACCCACCGAATTATACCTCTGCGCTGTTCCACCATTGCCACACCTTCGCGCCTGTACAATTGCCGAGCGCACGAGTCCACCACCCCCACTCTCACCCGCCATGCCACCCGCAACGAAGCGCTCCCGCAACCGCGGCGGAGGCGCGGGCCGCCTAGAATACATTTCCCTGAACGGGCTTCGCATCGACGGCCGGCGCCCGACCGAGGGGCGCAAGATCCGGTGCTGGCTGGGCGCGCTGTCCCGTGCTACTACCAGCAAAGCAACACGCGCGTCCTCGCCGCCGTGTACGGCCCCGCGAGCCCCACTCGCGCGCAAGCGTCCAGCACGACCGCGCCGTCGTCAAGTGCGAGGTCTCCACCGCCATGTTCGCCTCCCCCGTCTACCCCAGTACCTGGAAGGGCGACGGCAAGAGCACCGCCGCCGCCCTGGTCATGCAGAAGGCCTTCGAGGGCGTCATCCTGACCGCCTCGTACCCCAAGAGCCAGATCGACATCTATTTCCAGGTCCTCCAGAACGACGGCGGCGCGCTCGTCGCCGCTGTCAATGCCGCCAGTTTGGCACTGGTTAATGTCGGCGTCGCCATGTCGGATTTCGTCGTCGCTTGTGGTGTGGGCTTTGTGGACGACACCTTTGTCGTTGATCCTAGCTCGTTGGAGAGCGCCTCGGATCGCCCGGAGCTCACGCTCGCCGTCTTGAGTCACTCTGCTAAGATTGCTTCGTGTCAGTTGGATAGCAAGCTCCCGGATGGCGAGTCGTTTGAACGCGCTTTGGAGTTTGCGACGTCGGGTGCCAACCAAATTTTCAAGGTCCTCGAGTACGAAGTGCGCAAGTATAGCTTGAACGGGCCCGGCGGGCCGCGGCGCGGCGTGGCGCGCGCGAACCGGCCGCGAGGGGGAGAGGCCGGTGGCGAGCGCCAGGTGGGCGAGACAGGGGAGCTCGGGCGCGGGGGAGCGCGCGGGTGGGACGAGCTCCGCGGCGGAGGGCTTAGGGAAGGCGGGGTGCGCGGGTGCGCGTCCCGGGGGCGGCGGCGGCGCGGCTGGAAGCCGCGCGAGAGGAAGTCGGGCGAGGGCGGCATGCTGGTGCGGGGAGGGGGCGAGGTTGTCGGCGCGGGGGGGAGGGTGAAGGGGAAGGTGAGTGCGAACAAGTTGATCTGGACGACCCTGGAAGAAAGCGGCATGCTTTGTTGAGACGGATCAACGGACCGCAGTGCAGTGCCGTTGAGATCATTTGCCCGCCACGTGTCGCGTATTGCCACGTATGATACGTGCAACCGTGTACAGCTCAAGAGCGATCGCGCGAATGGCGCGGGATTTCGACATGCCGACTTGACCGACGCGTCCAAGGAGTATTTGCGCTTTCGCACCATTGCCCCAAAGGTCAAGTCGCTTATGACCGAGCTGCACTCTCGCGCCAAGGTGAATCTTGCTGGGAAGGGGCCTCTGACTGGAAGGGATGGCGGTGCGGATGCCAGGGGGATGTACGGCCGGGGGGTGAATTCCATTTCGGACCCGTACTCGAATCTCGCAGCGAGCGGGATCTCGGGGCTTAATACGAACCCGGCGTTTTCGACGAGGAGCACTGCGCGCTTTATTTGTACTCTTGTAAACTTGCTTGACTCACGCGGTCTCGTCGCTTTGTAATTCTATCAATGCGCCTCGTTGTTTGTCTTAAGCTTATTAATGTCATCGGCATGTGGTGCCTTTGGGACACGCCGCGTCTGAGCGTAATTGTTGTACAAATTTTGAAACCCCTGCGTTCATCGAACGTGCACTTCTTCGTCAAAGAACTCGGAAAGCGGCAAGTTCGACAACGGCAGCCCCGAACGATACGGCTTACATGGCTGCACGCGAGACCAGCTCGGACGGAACCAAGGGAATGACAAGGAGCACAATTTTTAAAATGGCATAACTGGCCACGGCCCCACCAGCGGCTCAAGCGACCCCTTGCGACGCCATCCTTGAGAGTGTGTCGCAAGAAGGTTTGCTCACGCGGGGTGAACGAGGTGAAATGCTCCTCACGAATGGTATCCCTGGCCAACCGCAACGCCGTGGCAGTCTCATGTGGCTCGACTGCAGCGGCAATGGTGAGAACTCTTGCGGCGCGTTCGCGACGTATGTGCGACAGTGGCGGGCAAGGACCATCAGATGAACTACCTTCCGCTATCGCATAGCTGGGTCGAGAAAGAACGGAAAGAGCCACCAGGCTTGCCGGTCGCAGTCTGAAGCGGGCAAACATGACGGCCAGCACGGCTTTTGCGCGACCTCCCGCGGCATTCTTGAACTTTTCTGTGGAAGAAGATTTTGAGGTACCACATATGTTTTTACTGTTGAGGCACCTGAAATGAGATTTGCAGAGACTGTTGACGTGAAGACTGTCTTCTGTCCTTTCGGTGCAATTAAGTAGCTCGCCTGTTGTCCCGTATGCGCATCGCGTAGATTCGAATGATGTGATAAAACTACCGCCGTTTGATCCCATTTTGTTCGAGCGCTCTTGTTTAGTGGAGCCGTTAGGACTTTTCATCTGGATGTGGGGGATAAAGATGGGTTTCGTTGTCCGGAGTGGTTCAGGAGCACGGCGATATATCGGTTTAGCAGGGGAAGGAGTGAAATATGCACATTCGGAGCCGAATATGACATACAAAAAGTCCAAATTTACCACCGCAGCAACCCGAAGTTAGACCTTCCTCCTGAATGGTCCGAGCCGCCCCTTGGGGTTTGTATCAACGAAGGCTCCGCTTATCGAATGTGATGTGCATGACAGCGCCCGCATTACCATCCATACCAGTAAGTACCTTATCTATAAGCACAGCGTAATAGTCTCTTCCAACTTAGAGTGTTCAATCGTGCCGTACAGATACGCACGTTATTTCCCACATGTGCGCACCGATGTTGTACTTGCAATTTGAAACAGTGCGAACCACCCACCCGCACTCCATAAAGGGTTCAGTACAGTTTACCATGTCAGTGCTAAGCATGAAAATGTTCATTTATACGACGACGCCAGTTGCTATCACACCTGTCTGATGTGAGCGAAGTGAGCGCTCCCGTATATGGAAGTAGAGGAAACAGGAATGTTTCTTAACAGTCATGGGAGTAACGTTATGTTGCCGTTCTAGTGCCGCGGGGGGAAAGGACGCTGGAGTAGAGCAGGCCGCCGACGACGAGGATCGCGAGCGTGCGGCGCACGCTGGTGCGTCGCGGCTTAGTCAAACATCGAAGCCGAGGTCAAACGCGTGTTTCACGGCGACGAACGCGGGAGCCAAGCCTGCGTCCAGCGTGGTAGCCTTGGGCAGAAACCGGCCCGCGACCTCGGTCTTGTCGCACGCGAAGTAATATTAACTGACGGCCATCCAGCTGACGGCGCTCTTCGGATCGGGGTGGACCGGCGGGTGGGACTCTTGAAAATTGTGCATAACGGCACCCGACTTGCGAATTTTGACGAGCTATGAAGAGATGAGGGAATGCCACTCCGATGGCACTCCGCACGAACTACGGCGGTGTGATGCTACTGCGGTGGCACTCCGCCTGTGATACGACAGCACTGCACGGTTGACCGAGAGTTTCGCCCTGCTGTACCTAATGCTACATATACACTACGTAAATACTACGATTGCACCCCTAGTCCTCCGATCGCCCTGCGGGTAGCCTACGAACGCCTACAGTAGGGTTGCTAGGGGAATCTCCGAGCACTGATCGACGAGTTACACTCGCGGATAGTGCTCGTCGAAGACTCCCGTTTCGCCTCGCCCGAACCGTCCGGGCAAGGTCGCCCTGAGAGGCCGACCTCGGTGAGACGACCCGAGGACCGAACCTCTCCGTCCGCAGAGCAATTGGGTGCGTTCGCGCACCTCTCCGCTGAGCTCGACGCCACTCGTCGGCGTGCTCGTGACATGGAACGTACCATGGCCGAAAGGCTACCCGGTGCCCCCTCGAGAGGGCCCGGTGGTACCGTACCTCCGAGCGCCGCCGCCCCGGAAGGTTGGCGTCCGACTGGTGCCGCTACCAGTCGGACTGCAGAAGAAAGCCGTCCTCCGATAGACGCGAACTTCGCGTCTGAGACCCAAGCCTTGCCGCCTATCGCCGGAAGTAGGCGGCAAGTGGACCGCGTATCGTACGCGGACGAAAAGGAGCGTGGAGGAGCCGCCCGCGGATCCGGAGAACCGATGTTCTCCGTCGATCCCCGCTGGGGCGGCTACCCGCCGGCGAGTTACGCCGAGCCTCCAGGTCCGGTAGACGTCTGTACGCTACCGGTTACCTCCTTCGGCACGCTGGGTCCCGCGGAACCTGGGCTCGAGCCGGTACATACGATGATCCAAGAGTTCAGCGCCGTTGCTGACTATCGTATGTACCGCTTGGATAACACCTCGAGGCTCGTTACCTCGGGTGACGCGGGACGGATCGCAAAGAACCTCCAACGCTGTCGTGGGATCCGTCCCACGATGCGCAGCTTCGACGGTACCGACCCGATCCAGCTGCTGCCGTTCTTGAAAGATATCCGAATCACCTTCAACTCGCAACACCTGACCGAAGGTGTTGCGGTACGAGTCCTCGCGCACTTCCTCGAGCACGACGCGGAGCGCCTGTATACGAGTTATACGATGCGTGGCCTCCGCGACGGCCAGCTCCACGACGACGAGATCTAGCCGGGGCTCGTGAATCAATTCTTAAAACGCTACCTCACGGACGACGTGTTAGGTGAAGCGTACGACGCTGTCGCTACGGCGCGACAGCAATCGCATGAGACGGAAAGCACGTTTGCTGACCGACTCGAGACTGCCGCGTTCCGATGCACGGCAGTCTTCTCCGAACAGTCCCTCGCGCACTACTTCGTGCGGGGACTTGCACCGGCAACCCGTGCCGCAGTATTCGAAACTGTGCAAAGGCTGCCAGGCAGTCAGAAGACCGATCTTCCGACCATTCGCCGTGTCGCCACGGCGGAAGGTACAACGTACCGCGCTCGGCGCGATTTACCTCTGCCGGCTTCGAAACCGGCAGGGAAGGCTGGAAGGACTACGAAGTGCGCCGCGACAAGTTCGCCGGCCTCGACCCTCCATAGCGGGGAGGAGGAGTGGCAGGCCGACCCTGTCCTCATTACGCAAGGAGCAGGGCCCGTGGGGGCACGAACCCCCTCACCGATGTCGACCGGAACGACATCGAGTTACGCGACCGCCTTCGCGGCCACTCCAAGAGTGCCAAGGGGTACGGACCCCCGGGTCGCAGAGCTCGACATATCGAGCCGAGATGCAGGAGGCGAAGCGCCTCGCGTGCCCCTCCTCACCGATGAGGAGGCGCGGCACGCGGCGACCTTCGCCTCAACGGACGGCAGCGCGTACGTGTGCTGGCTATGCCGTACGTACGGGCATGCCATGTACGCGTGCCCGTTCCTGTCGCCGGAACAACGAATGTTCACGGCGTACAGGAACTACCGCTACCAGATGGAGACGCGCCCCGGTACGCGTAATCTCCTCCGGCAAGCGGCGGGCGAGGGCCGTCCCCTGCGTCAAGGTTTCCCGCACCGGTCGGGTGGGGGCGCACGCTTCGCCCCCCGTGGAGGTGGGTACCGTCGTAACGAAGTTGATCGTCGGGATCGACCCGCCTACCGACAGGCGGACACAAGGTACCCCCGACAAGGAAAAAGAGGGGACCGAGGCCGTTCTCGGTTACCCCAACAGGTACAAAATGCGATAATGTACCTGCAAGACTGGGTAGAGGATCCGTACCCTCTACCTACGGAGGGTCACGAAAGCGAGCCGACTCGCTTCGTCCCCCATATCCTGCGACGACCGTACGTCGCAGGTCAAGGCCCGGAAGTACCCGAGTACTTCACCAAGGCCGC